CCACTAAGCTGTTGGAGACCTAGTAATCCTATTCCAATCTGCAAAGTTTAATTTTGCAGATAATTAGGTCGGCGATTAGCATTACCTGTCAAACAGGCAGGCCGACTGAGACAGAGAAAAAAAATGAAGTATCAAGAAAAGGAATAGTACCGTCAAAGGAAACCAATATCTTTTCTGTTTAAGCTCTGCGAATCGAATTGCAGTTCTTTTGCTACTTGAGGCGACAGATCTCTGCAGAATGTACATGTTGAAGGAATTACCGGATCCTAGAAAAATAAATTTGTAGCATGTCTACAGACCAATTGCTCGAAACTATTACCTTGATCTCATTCAATTCGCTATTTATATCAGTCTCAAAACCTCGGAGTACTTGCAAGGAAGCCTCACAGTCATCGATCATGCCCATTTTCGCCTGAAAAATTAAGAGGAATATAGAATGAGGATGAATACGGTATTAGAATATTAGAATAAGAACATGAGGGGCCGTGCGCTATAAGAAATTTACCAGCCACCGAGGAGATTCCGGAATGAAAAACAGACCAGGTATCAGAAGAAGGCAAGGTAAAATTCCTGGAAAATAGAAGAAAATGAAGTTTTCATCTCCTCGTGATGTTTGTTCTGAGATGCTTTAATAACCTCTCAACACCAATCTTAAGATACTATTGAAAATCACCATCCAAATCTGGCATCTGGACCGAAAAGAGAGAGTAAGTGGAAAGGAAAAAAGAGACCTTGAAACACAAGCGAAGTGAATGAGATCAAGGAAATAGTCTAGCAATCTTTGCTAATATGAAGTTTGTTATTCCAGCAAAGAATCACACGCCAAGATTAAGCAAATGATCAGCTTTGCAATAAGAATCACCTCTTTGGATTGATCCCTGCAAGGAACAAGACCACCAAAAAGCAAGCAAGCAAGCTAATATCGCGAGTTACATAAGAGTTAGAGTACCTATAACTGCGAGCGGCCTCCACTGAACGAATAGCCCCAGCAGATAAGCAAGCATTATTCCAATAGTCACAGAGAGCTGTATCGAATAACACATAAATTCATAACCAGTTCTCATTGTAAAGATTTTGAGGTTTGATTAAATAACAACATAACTCGAAAAGCATTTGCTGCCATAAAAAATTTACCTGATTCACTGATCCTAAGCTTCCCCTCATGTTCTGGGGCGCTATCTCGGATATGTATACGGGGACCTGAAAATCATTCAACGAGTTTAGCAGATGGCCGAGGAAAATGTATGAGCAAAGAAGGATTGGATGAGGTTCGGAAATTGTACCGTGTATGATATAACCCCCACACCAAAACCTTCCAACAACCTTCCCAAATAGAGGAAAGAGTAATCCTAAACAGACAGAGACATGAGGTGTTTATCTTCCAGTGTATGTGCACAAGAGATGAGCTGATTCTGGAGGTCTTAGGATGAAAAGGAAAACTCACTTTGGCAAAGGATATGGCCAGCCATCCGAGGATGTTGGGAATGGCAGCAATCATCAAAGACTGTATAATTGAAGCAAGAAATTACAGAAATATAGCCAATTCAACTTGAAAAGATAAACAAGAAAATCAAAAGAGCAATCATGATTATCCTTTGTAAGAGAAACAAACTGAATTTTTGCCTACCCCTTTTCTTCCAATGTATTCGGAAATCTGACCACTTGCTATAGCCCCAACCATCGCGCCAACATTGGATAAAGAGCCGAACACAGAGAACTATGAACCACAAAATTTACCAGCGAGGATGATGAAACTAGGGGCAGCAAGCAAACGACAGAAGCAATCCTTAACAGAGATGTGAATGCAGTACCTCGGAGACAGAGAGCCCGAGATCCCGTGTGATTGCGATTTGGCAAGGTGAAGAATAACCAGACTGTCAGCAAGATAAAGGAATCAACAACAGATCATGTTCCCAAGAAAAAGAAAAGTGGACTAACTTTTCCAAGTTTCCATCCTTGATTATGTATGCCGGTTGGGTTTGTTCTTCTCTGCTTTTATGTTAACTATCGAAAGACTAGTTTTTTTGGATTGGAAAGGGCACCGTGAGTGGCAGTGAAGGCAGAATTCATGTGGTACCCAACAAATTCTTCACGGCAATCGCTAAGTGAAAAGAGAAAAAGGCCAGGAATCAACCTATCTATTTCGCATACCTCACCGGGTCACACAAGGGTAATTCGACAGCTTTTTTTTCATTTTTCTGATGAATTTTCAAGCACCATTGTCCTGAGAAATCAAATAGACCACTAATGCACACATCATTTCCTAGTTCCTCTGTTCCACGTTGTAATCCTCTGGCTTATTTCATCTGAACATGTCATTTAAACGCGCACATAAGAAGAAAACGAGGAAAACTTCTGCTGTATTCATAAGATTGGCTTTGCACTCTCGTAGTTGGAATGGCATATCCGTGCATCTCCACACCAAATGAATAAATGAACGAAAAACATGGACAAAAGGGGACAAGGGAGGTGTTTACGGTGAATCCGAATTGAATGGGGCCAAGAGCGACGATGAGGACGCATGCCACGACCGAGACGGAGGAGTCACGGATGGACTGAGACGACGCCATGATGACCGACGGCCTCGAGCTGAGGCGGTACCAGCTGCCCGTGTGCAGGAAAGGCTTCTTGAGATCCCTCCCTTCCTCATTGTCCTCCCTGAAACTCATCCCCTCTGCCTCTCTCTCTCTCTCCAAATTCTATCCTGAAAGAAGCCAAACCAAGATCGGAAAAACCAATCTGGGCGTGAATTCTCCGGCGTGCACGCACCGAGAGAGAGAGAGAGAGAATGAGGGGAGGTCAAAGTTGCATGATGGGGAAAAGCCAATAATAGCTAGGCAGAGAGATGGAATTGAGGCAGAGATACTAAATCCCCGAGTTTGCGGGAGGATGGGGCTGTGAACGAGCTAAAGCTAGAAAAACGGGGGATGGTGCTGACGAAGACGACGCTGCATGCATGGTTTGCTTTTGCACTTACGTACGTGAGAAGCAGCAGATGGACTAACCTATTCCACATTATTCGATCATTGAGATGGAGTGAGCTCGCATGTTTCAAAAGGTCACGAGAATTCTTCCGACAGAGGATCTTTATGGTTATTTCATGCGGAGCTCTTGTTGGTGCAAGAGATGGAAAGAACCCAATAAACCCCATCGGGGCGCTAATAGCCTGAGCCCGCGATGCATCGCGCACGGGTTCGTTAGGGCACGAACGTGAGGGCGAAATTGCTTGCAGAAATAGAGAGCATGCCTGACTTTGTGCAAATCGGATTCTCAATCTCTAGCATTTCGTTAGGGATCACTCGGTCTATCGCTCTCGAAGATTTGGGCCATGAATGATGCAGAGTAGGTATGACTTAAGTTGAATTCGATCGTCTCATGGCATGTGTGACTTGTAAAAAGGCCTAATTCTTTAATAGAAATTTCTCCATGGTCCAATCCTAATTTTGCCCCCAACTTTATTTATTTAAAGAAAAAGCTCAACTTTAGATCCAATCCAAATCTGCCTCTAAACTTTATTTTGTCTTAAAAAAAATCTCAACTTTACGTTCGGTTCCAAATTTATATTGAGCATATTTTTATTTAAAAAAATCACCAACTTTAACTTTAATCCCAAATCTGCCTCCATTAGCCCTCCGCTCAAAAATCCCGATTAGTCGTCTCTAATTTCTCTAATTTTCACATCAAAAAACGGTTTCGTTTTCGATATAATTTTCCACGTCACCTTGTTGATGTCGATTTGTTATCGACGTGGAAATGCCATGTCAAACAACTTATAGTGATTTTTGGACGGAAGATTAACGGAGTCAAATTTAAGACTAGATCGAAAGTTGGTGATTTTTTTAGACAAAAAAAAAAGTGGGGTAAATTTAAAACTAGAGTTATTAGTGATTTTTTTAGATAAAAAAGCTCGGGACAGAATTGGCCCAATTCAATTGGGATTGAATCTAAAATTTGGAAATTTTTTCTTAGACAAAAAAATTCGAGATGGAATTGGGATTAGACATAAAATTTAGAGTTTCATAAATTAATTATTTGAAATCTAGTACATCTAAACTGTTAGAATTAATAAGTTTCAAGGATCAATTTAGTTGGTTCCGTAAAATTGAAAAGTTTATGCCTCCGATACATGCTAATAATATTTTTCGAGAGGAAAATATATTTTCATATATCGTATCGCTCACACACGCAGGTGTTTGATATTATTTTTATGTGAATTGAATATATATATATATATATATATATATATATATATATATATATATGTCGATCTTTGTAATTGATTTCCATCTAGTCTTTCCATGAAATCATACCGTAAGAAAGTGTACTTTTTTAAGAGTAACCAAGTTTGAAAATTCAAATTCATCTTTGATGGTTGCTGCCAAAGGAATATCGGGTCCTAAATAAATGGATGAATTCTCATGCGGCGGACCACAGAACTTTTTGGTAACGTGAAGAAGATTCACGCACGAAAAGTCATACCTTCTTCCCTAGAACTCGATGAATCACCCACCCTTGATTTCATAAGTCTCGTAAAGGCTCTTTTGTAACAAGATAATGACACACGGTCCTTGAATAATGTAGTTTATAAATTTTTAATTTTTTTAATATAATCATTGAAAATGAGCATACTGTTTAATACGACTCATGAACTTTTAATTTATTCGATATAATTCCCGAATTTTTTGTATATATTTAATATAGTCCCTGAACTTGAATTAATAGAATGATTACATCGAACATTTTCGTATAATTCAGGATCACATTAAATATCAGGTTAAAATTTAGGAATTACTTTGAATAAATATCTTATATATTGGGTTAATGGCTATTTGTGTCATTCTATCTTGTGTAATTGGGCCCCTGTTTGGATTAACGGTCCCGATTCACTCGGGTTCAGCGGGACCCGACGTTTCGACGGCTCGCGGGAAGGAGAAGGAGAGAGAGAGAGAGAGAGATCCACACGCGCCGTCGAGGAGCGTGAGGGACGGGGCTTCCCCCCTCCGTTGAAGCGCTGGTTCATGTGTTTTTCTCCCGAACGACGCAGTAGGAGGAAGAAGAAGAAGAAGAAGAAGAAGAAAAAAGCGAAGCAAAGGTAGAACAAACCCAAGTATGGCGGCTCGCGCAGTCTACCCCACGCACACTCGCCTCCTTCTCTGAGCCCACCGCCACCGCTCTCCGCCGCGGAAGAAGCCGCCGCCGCCGCCGTCGCCGGCGTCGCTCGTTCGCCGTTTGCGAGTTTCGCCTCGAGTCCCGAACTTATGAGCGACCGAACCCAGACCCACACCGAACCCCAGCCGCTGCCCCAGCCAAGCCATGACCCAGCCTCCGCCTCCGCCTCCGCCTCCGCCTCCGCCTCCGCCTCCGCCTCCTCGTCCGCCGCCGCAGCAGCCGCCCCTGAGATAATCAACGGCCCCCCGCCGCCGCAGTCCGCCTCTCCCCCGTCCAAAATCCCCCTCCGCCCGCAGAAGATCCGGAAGCTCTCGCCCGAATCGTCCACGCCCGACCCGAAGCCGTCAGCCGCCGGGGCTAGCCCTAAATCGAAGGCCGTCAATGCCGCCTCCTCCTCGAAGCCCTCCAAGAACCGCATCGTCGCCTCGCGAGCCCCCGCGCTCCCCCGGATAGTCGTCCGCTCCCTCTCCTGCGACGGTGAGGTCGAGGCCGCCATCCGCCACCTCCGCGACGCGGATCCCCTGCTCGCTTCGCTCATCGACCTCCATCCTCCGCCTACGTTCGACATCTTCCTCACTCCGTTCCTTGCCCTCACCAAAAGCATTCTCTACCAGCAATTAGCCTTCAAGGCCGGCACCTCGATCTACACGCGCTTCATTGCTCTCTGTGGCGGCGAGGACGGAGTCCTCCCCGAGACCGTGCTCGCGCTGGACCCTCACCAGCTTCGGCAAATCGGGGTTTCGGCACGCAAGGCAAGTTACCTTCATGATTTAGCTAGGAAGTACCAGAACGGGATATTATCCGACACGGCGATTGTAAATATGGATGATAAGTCGCTGTTTACGATGCTCACCATGGTCAACGGAATTGGGTCTTGGTCGGTCCACATGTTCATGATTTTCTCGTTGCATAGACCAGATGTTTTGCCGATTAATGACCTCGGGGTGCGGAAAGGAGTGCAGCTTCTTTATGGGCTCGAGGATTTGCCCAGGCCATCACAGATGGATCATATGTGTGAGAAATGGAGGCCGTATCGTTCAGTCGCGTCGTGGTACATATGGAGGTTTGTGGAGTCGAAGGGTGCACCTTCGAGTGCCGCAGCTGTTGCGGCCGGTGCTAGCCTGCAGCAGCAACAACAGCAGCAGGTAGAAGAGCAGCAGCAACACCACCCGGAGCAGCCACAGTTGCTGGATCCTATAAATAGCATTCTTAATCTTGGGTACAATGCGTTTCACTTCAGTTCCTAGTGTAGCAAATGCTGCAATGCAAATGATTAGAATTCTCTCGTGTGCTTTACTGAAGTTATCTGGTTCTTGGTTAGAAACAGACTTGTTTCCTTCATTATAATTGTCATTTGTTATGCGCTGTCATCTATTGGTGCTGGTGGATTTCGAAAACTGAAATACTGGGGGCAGTGTGGGCTAGTTTGTTTGTGGAGGAGGTATTGTACAATGCAATTGTATTGCGCTCCAGTATCAGTATGAAGGAAGACCTTTTATATTTCAAAAAGACAAGTGTGTTCTGTTGATTTGGGTGATATCACTGTAAGATATTTTGAGTTTGTCGAGTACATACTGTAGCGACACCTGTCATAGTAGTATCTCTGTTGATGATGTTGGATTAGTAGCTAGATCTCTATGATCGTGCTCTTTGTACTGTTAAGCACAATGAACGCAGATTTGACGTAGGACCCAATAATTCCTGGGTTGGTTCCTATATCCCCCTAACCCACTTGCTTGTTGAAGGGTGAAACTGGAAAGCTTGTTGAACGCACTCCTTGTACATGATCATATACAATAGCATATAAATCATCTCAAATGCATTCTAAGCCCCTATGTCATCATCCAATCATTTTTTGTGTTCTTTGTTTCCCTTAGAGGTAATTATACTTGTATGAGTTGGCTATCACATTGGCTATATACACAATTGTCATTGGATGCTCTTGTGCCAAAGCGTTAGATTGATGGATTCTGGTGGTGAAATTTTGGCTAGTTAATAATATGCAGGTTCACAATCTGCTATTTTTGCACAGGAAGGGGATCAAACAAGTATTTCCACGTTCAGTGTTGAGTGTGTTAGATATATTCTATGACTACTTATGGATGCCCATTGCCATATCAAGTAGGCGAGAAATCTTGCTCTGGAACTACGATAGGATATGTTGTCTTATGATTTTAAGAAGTGGAAACTGCAATGCACGGTAGATTTTTAAAGGTTCAGTATATACAGTTTAGGCTTTATCCTTTTCCAGTTGGTTATGACTATCACTGTCAGTTGTCAACTCTCGATATAAAAATGTACTTCAACGTGTTGTGTTTGATAAGAACAGTGCATTTGTTTCGAGTGTCGTAGAGCGGTATGGATGTTTTGTGAGAATTATAATAGGAAATGATGTGTCTGCAAATTGCTCTGTGGTCATCCTGCATGGCTTTCAGATAGCATGGCTATGTGTGCCTTTGTGCTGCCTTTTGTGCTCATAGCCATGCTTTTGGTCTTTTATGGTTGCACATGAGGTTTATTTGAGTTCTATATGCTTTTCATTAAGAGGTACGTGATTTTAATTGATATTTGTCAACCATGCTTTCCAGCAAGCAATCCTGCTATAAGAGATACAGGTGCTTAATTTTTGGGATGTGTGCAAGTCTGTTGGAGAGAGCTTTTGTATAGAAAGTTTCAACTATTATGGAGTAGGATAAGACTGAATTGAGTTTGAGAAGTTGGATGTATACTATTGTTTTCCTTTTGATCAATGAAAAATTGAATTCTAAATAAATATACGATGATGTGCCTGTTTTTTTTTTTAGAATGGAGAATGACCGCGTTCTAGTCTTATTGGACCATAGGTTAGCACTGAGTCAAGCTAAATTTGACCCAATACATATAAGTCAAAAACTCGAGTCAGACCAAGTATTTCTTGGTTACTTTCAGAGTATCAACTGAGAGCTAATCATTTGGGATGGCATGTACATGGTTCGCCTGTATGAAATGGTCTCCTGATTATAAGATGCTTAGTGCAACCTCGTGGATGAGATTGACAAAGTGCAAAGTGGTTGAAGTGTCTTTTTTGCTCATCAAATGAACCCGTGAATGATAAAAATTGGAGAAGATGATGCTCTTTGAGTTGAAAAGGAATCCTAGTACCTTCCACTAGTAGAAGTAATTGTGACTCCTTGGCCATTTTGTTCATACATTTTTAAGTGTGCTCTTAGTTTTTCCTTGCTCATTCAATTTCATTATAGTATAACAATTTCGATTTGTGTCCTGTTGTCTCGTCCTTTGAACTTAAAGAAGTTTGCTTCCAAGGAGTTCAATTTTTTCGTATGCACAATGCCTTAGCAATCACCATTAGGATATTTGTAGAACTTCTTAATCTGCCATTCTACTAGAGCTTGAGTTGCTTGCATAGAGATTATTTGATTTTTAAACCATTGTTGCAAATCTCATCTTCCATTTTAGAAGGCAGTGGCAAAGCCAAATGAGGATGTTTCCCCTTGCCCAACATGGGATAACAGAGTCTTTAATTGATGCTACTGCATTTTCAGTGCGTTCTCTTTCCTTTATGAGGAGATAGGGTATATACTATATCTTGATTGGGGGTTTGTTAGCTTTTTTAAGTGTTGGTGTTTGTTCCAGTTGGTCGGTGAGAGTCTGCGTCTTAATTTTTCCCTGTTCAGTTTGCACATGCATATATCCAATATATTGCTAGCTTTGTGTTTCATTCATCTAGGAATTTATATTTCAGCTGCCTCATGTTGCTAAAGTTCAATGCTTTGGCATTATTCATAAATCCGTTGCTACATGAAATGAATTAGTGCACTGTTGATTATCATGATCTCTAGTTATGACACATCTTCTTGGATTTAGGGCTTATGCTTGGGGACAATGACTGGGGAGGTTTCTTGGTGGAATATTGTCCATCAATTGATATGAGTTGAGATCCTTGAAAAGCAACTCGAAGGTACTCAACTCAGGTGCCAGAGGCTTGAATTTTTCTGAGTGTCGAAAGATGAGCTCTCTGTACCTTGTAAATTGTCAGGCGATGCAATGAGATCCAGCTCAAATTCGGTTGAATGTTGCATGATAGTGGTTTCTAGATATATTATTACCTAGAATTAGCCATAACTGCTGGAAGAAAGAAATGTGGTGATAAGTTGATGTCATTGTTCGACAATTTATCATGTGACAATTTCTTTGCTGCATCTTTTATCTGCATACTCCCCAACCCTTGGGGTGAACATTGAAAAACATGAGAAAGAATTGTCCTTTCTGTATGCATTTTTCACCTTCTGCTGCATTCTGGTCCTGGGTGCTCATCCGCATAAATCATGGCCTACCCATTTGGAGTAGTGTAGTGGTGTAGTGGTGAACTGCATCCGTCACTCTTCTTTCTCCTGGACATGTTGCAGTTAAGTTGAATCCAGAGTGAACTGTGCAAAATGCTCCAATTTGAGCTAACCTTTTGGGGGTCCATGCCGAATCTAAGCACGCATTTAATTTCCATATCGAGTACCTTCCCGTACACCCAACCCCACCCCCCCCCCCCCCCCTCTCAATAGTGTGGTTTGTTTTGCCTTTATCTTGGGAAACTAGCTTCATCCTACCTGGTCCTGTCACTATTTGGCGAGATCACTACAAGAACAAGTTCCTGGTTGCTTTGATGTTACCCTTTGCGATCCTTTTTCATTACGACGAGGGGGAAACTGGAAAGCAGGGTTGCTCCCCGTTGTCCTGGCCATTGCCAAAGCTAAAAGCCGTGCATCGCAACTCTTATAGTTTCCTTATGACATTCTGAAGTATTTCATAGTTAGCAAAGCTTTGCTGTTCGATGCTTTCGTTTGATAAATCTAGAGTTAAAATGTTACGGCACCGGGAATTAAATCCTGCTCAAAATTGAGACCATCTCCCGTGTGTGGCAGAGATGAGACAAGTGACAACCCAACAGCCGTTTGGCAATTGGTTGCCTTGTAAGAGGCAGTCAAGGTTGCATTCCATGAACGCAACGAAACTTTAACTTATGTCGCGGCGGGTCAGTAAACACGAAGCTAAACCGAAGCACAGCCAAGATGCCCGAGGTGAAGTACCGACGTAGGGAGAGAAACACCGCACGTTCTGTTTCTGGACAGTGACGTTTCGCTGCGTCCATGAAGAACCCGCTTGCAAACGCCTCACGACAAGATCCTCAAATCCTGTGTCCTCATGGCTAACCTCACCTCATCCACTGCGCAGGTTAAAGCCTAGTGATAATCGACTTCCTGTTTTGTATTTTTAGCGCACAGAGTATCTGATTGATGAATATTCTAATCTTTATCATCCGGGTCCAAACATCTTCTGACCCTTTTTTTTTTTTAATTTCACGAAGCAAAAATACCCAAAATAATTGAAAATTGTATTGGTCCCATCAATACTATTTCTAAAGTCATCTCCTCTGCGAGACTTTACGTGAGTATTTTTTCATACACTGGAGTGGGTTGGGTTACGGACGGGATGGATCCCGGATGAAGGCACCCTGGACTCGAATTAAGCAATGCTTCATTTGTTTGGAGGTAAGTACTTTTTCCTTGAAAATTGACTCTAATCTTTTAGTAATTTTCTCACTGTTTAACAAAGAATAGACAGACCATTTGATTTCAAGGAAAAAAGGTTTTTTTGAAAAGTACTTTTGGACATCCAATAAGCAACTACGGAAGGCAAGGATTAATACAGCGAAAAACCCTAAATTAGTACAACTGTGACGGATGTACTTCAAAAAAACCCCAAACCGGTATATCTGTGATAAATTTACATCAAACTGATAAGGATTTTCACGTGGACTTACCATGTTATTACCATGTGCTATCTAACTCAGCAATTTCACAATAAAATTTGATGAATGTATCAGTTTGGGGGTTTTTGTATCCTAAAAATTAGTTTTTGGTGAATTTGCCACTTGAGTTTTTGGTGACTCAAAAATTAATTTGAGATAAATTTATCATGCACAAATTTGTCACATCACAGACACAAACCGATGCATGCACGATTGCGAAATAAGAATATGAACAACAACAAGGTGACGGACAACCTTTACTAGAGATGTGCTCCCTTGAACGCATCAAAGCGAGTGGGATATTCTGGTCCCATCAAAGGTTTATTCCCTCCTCGAGTTTTGACAATCTACACTTGGAGACAATGTCACAGTGTTTCTGCATTGGAGAAATCGGTATCTTAACTACATTATCCTCCTAAGTTACCTTCTTGCTCCTATAAGATGTCCTCAGCGTGGTCTTGTCATTGCAGCCCTTGATCACGAGCTCAACGCACCCAAGCGTCACACCCACACACACACCATGAACTGCGAGAATTATGACCCTTCGTTCCCTGACCAACCTGTGGTCGACCTATACCTCCCGGTGTGGGCCAAACTCCCGGCCTTCCGGTCCAAACCGGCCTTCGTTTGGGTCGATGACAACGGCGGTGAAGCGTCGACCCTGACCTACTCTCAGCTCAATGACTCCGTCCAGTCCATTTCTTCGCAATTGATTGTGCCTTTGCAAAGAGGTGACACTGTGGTCATTTTATGCCCACCGGGGCTTGAGCTCATAGAGATCATCTTTGGATGCCAAAGAGCTGGACTTGTGAGCATACCCATGTTGCCACCTGATCCATCTTTTGCTCCAGAAAGCCACCACCACCTTGATAGAGTCCTCTCTCAAACAAAGCCCAAGGCTGCCATAGCACCCCACGGTTACATCACAAGAGTCAACCACTACATCTCTTCCAATTCCGTAAACCATGACCAGAAGTTTGCGGGCATGTTGCAGAATCTCAGGTGGGTTTCAACTGAAGAGATTGGGATTAAAACTAGTGCAAAAATTGGGCCTTCTGTGCCTTCTCCTCCTCCTTGTTTGTACAATGGGTGCAAGCCAGAAGAAGTGTACTTGATTCAATACACTTCAGGAGCCACTGGGATTCCTAAGCCGGTGCTTGTGACTGCTGGCTCAGCTGCTCATAATGTCAGGGCAGCAAGAAAAGCATATGATCTTCACCCAAATAGCATCATCACCTCATGGTTGCCTCAGTACCATGATTGTGGCCTCATGTTCTTGTTGCTCACGATAGTGTCTGGTGCAACGTGTGTTCTCACATCTCCTACTTCATTCCTCAAAAGACCGAGGCTTTGGCTTGAGCTGATCACTAACTTCAGAGCAACTTGCACTCCAGTCCCATCTTTCACCTTCCCACTGGTGGTGAAGCGCGGCGGTGTCAAAAAGGGATCTTCACCCATAAATCTGACCTCAATGAAGAACCTAATCATGATCAACGAGCCCATTTACAGAGCCCCGGTAGAAGAATTTGTCAACGCGTTCATGCCTTTCGGCTTAAGCCCATCATCCATATCACCATCTTACGGACTAGCAGAGAACTGTACTTTTGTGTCGACGGCTTGGAGACCCGTCAATAACGATTCAGCCACTTTCCCAAACATCCCAACTCACAACAAGCTCTTGCCAAGTGCAAGACTCGCTTCAACAGATGATGATTCATCATTAGAAGAAGAAGACATGCAGATTGTAGTTGTAAATGAAGAAACTTTAGCGCCTGTCCAGGATGGAACTGAAGGAGAGATCTGGGTCTCATCGCCAAGCAACGCTTCTGGTTATCTCGGCCACCCTTCATTAACAAGGGAAACTTTTCATGCAAGGCTCAGCAACAAGGTGAGCAGTTGCTTCCTTAGGACCGGAGACAGAGGAATAGTCAAAGGTGAAGAGAGGTTCCTTTACGTGACAGGTCGGTGTTCGGACATCATCACAATAACACCACCAAACGATGTAGAGACATCATCGCATGCACATCATGCGCATTACTTGGAAACCGCAGCTTACGATGCTTTCCCGCAGTTTCTGAGAGGAGGCTGCATAGCCGCGTTTGAGCGCGACTCAAGAAAAGTGGCCGTCGTCGCGGAGTTGCAGAGGAGCGAAGGACTAAACCGCGACATCTTGAGGGGATTGTGTGAAGGCATAAGAGATGCGATCTTGAACCGAGAGAAGGTCGAAGTCGGGCTGGTGGTTCTGGTGAAGAACGGGAGCATGCCCAAAACGACGTCCGGGAAGTTGCAGAGATGGCTGGCCAAGGCAAGGCTGGTTGGCGGCAAGATGAACGTGGTGATGGAGATGGAGTTTGGGCTCGATGACAATGGAGGGACTCGGTCAAGTTTTATGAAAAGTGGCGTTAATGGCAGTGAGTCCAGAGATCAAGGAAGAGGGATGAGATCATCATCATCATCATCATCCGCGATGGATGTGAGTGGGAACACGGGTGGGGAGAGAGTTGAGAGTGAGATCGCTTACTCGTTGACTAGCCGCGATGGCGATTCCACTCGTCCAAAGTTGCTCTCAATGTTGTGAGGATCTGTGAGAGATTGTCTGCTGTTTCTCTCTCTCTCCCCCTCCCTCTCTTTTGTCTTTCATGCCCTACTGCCATGCATGCAATGCATCAGCGCTGATGTTTTCAGATGTTCCTGTTAGTAAACAATAAAGTATGAAGTTAACAAGATACCTCAATCACTCCTCGGGATTTTCCGTGGAGCATCGAGAAATCGCTCCCCTCGCGACTTGTCATGTTCAAGTTCAATTTGTCGTGGCTTCTATACCAAGTATTGTACCATTCACAAACACTTAAAAATTCCCAAGAGTGCCCGTCTGTATGGCGTGCCATGTATGAAAATCACCACGTGAACTTAGATACGATAAGTTTCGACGGGAGACTGGTCCTTGCGAAACGATAGAGATCCCCGCGACTCTGCGTAAAACTCTAAGCCCAGAGAATGGAATTGGTGTACAAATTGCCTTTGCCATTTGAGTGTACACCAAATATTCAAAAGGGGGTGCGAGGACGAGTGACATGTTCATCTGGGACTGTGAGGTAGGAGTTGCAGAGAGCACAGAGCAATGCATTCAATGATCTTGTTGAGAAATATGCTATGGCAATGGCATGTTGTTTTGGAGGAAACCTTTTGTCTAACCCCCAGATACAAATCCCAACACTCTTTCTTGGGGTTTATGCAGGTGTGAAAACCGATTTACACAAGGGGAGTGTTAAGAAATATGTTACGCGCTTTCTAGACTGTGACTTGCAGATTTTTTTGGTCTGCATTGTTAGTTCATTTTCTATCTACTTAAAAGTTGTTTGGAAAAAAAATTGTGTAAAAAGATTTTAGGAAGATACACTTGAAGTTGTGAATTACTTGAATTTTGCAACATGTTCATAATCTAAAATTGGATCTAACATTTATGTTGAGTAGATCTGATCGACGGACGGGTAGCCTCAAACTCGCCCATAAACGGGTGGGCTTAGTTAGGGGTTCGTGATTCTAGGATCGGTCCAAATTTTAGGTTTTGGAACCTATCCCGTCAATCGGTTTCAGGGTCTATCCGATAATCGACCAATTTCTTTTCTTTTTTTTGTTTCATTTTTTTTTGTCTCATTTTTAGTTAAGCCAAATGAAAGTGAACGCAACAACAAAAGATCCCCGTTTGTCAATAGCAACAATCCATAAAAGATGAACATGTAAAATAAAATAAATAATAAAAAGTTTAAAACACATAATATAAAAATGAAAAAAACTGGCACCGATGAGTAAGGAACTCTTTCGTGGCATGCTCACAGTGATTGGACGAGAGCTACGGTTCATGATGCAATAGTTATCCTATCGAGTGAAGGGTCGAACTTCCCTTTCCCCGAGCCAGATGGTGAAGACATCATCGTGCTCGGTATGTACTTATATTTGTTAAAAAAATATACTAACTATAGTCCCCATATTATTCTCTACTAGCCCAACTTTTTTGAAGAATTTTTACCCTGCACGCCAACTTCAAAAGCATTGAACTAGAGATGGGGATCTTCACAACCGATAGAAAATGCAATAGGTGAATGACATTGCGAGAAACCGGATATAGAGAAAAAGAAAACAATATAAAATGTTGAGTTAGTGGGTACCGGTTTGTTATCAGTACACGGCAGAATCAAAAGATGAGAGGCAGTGTTTGTTATTGTTAGCAAGAGTAAAATGAGAATTTAGGTTTAACTCAGGTCCAGTACATCGGTTGTTGGTTCCCAGTTCGGTTTTTCAGTTACCAATTCAGTTCTTACCTGGAAACCGAACCGCACACGATCGATTCCATTTTTTGGAATCAAGAACTAGACCGGTAATCGCGGGAACTTTAAACCGAAGCGATTTCTTTGGCCGATTCAATCTGATTTCTGGTTTTACCCTGAATCCATGCTCACCTCTAATAGGGGTGATCGATTCTAGGGTCTGAGCCTATCATGTTAGAACCGGTTCTCAGTTTTTAAAATCTAGAATGTACTATGTTTTTCCAGTCCAATTTCAAGGTCTACCTAACAAAGAGAGAGAGAGAGAGAGAGAGAGAGAGAGAGAGAGAGAGAGAGCCGTGAAAAGTCTGAGTGAGATTGGAGAGAATAGACAACAAGAGAGAGATAGGGAAAAAGATGTTAAGAGGAAAAATAAGGTTTTTAGATTTTATGAAATCGGTTCCAAATTCAGTCTGATCGGTTTGGTTCCTAGGTGGCTCTTCACTTGGAATTAAGAACTAGACCGGTTCTATAAATTTGGAATTGGGAACCGAACTGGTTCCAATAGAAACTTGAAACCGGATTGGTTTTCAGGGTAGTCCGGTCTTGTTCCCAAGTAGAACCGGTCCGGTTGCATAGCCCTAACCCCAAGGCTTAGCTAAAAATTATAGGCTCATTAGGCTGGGCCAAAATTTTCGACCTAATCTGCCCATATATTTATTTAGGAAATTTACAAATTATGTTTTGTTAATAATTTTACCTTAATATTTAAAAAAGTAAAACGTTAATAGGATAAAATAAGCCCAAATTCTAATATAAGAGAAAAAAATAGCATAAATCTCATGGTTATAGTAGTAAAATAAAATACAGATGGCCCTGAAATTATTTTTTCAACTTTTTTTAGTTGAAATTTTACAAAATAAAAATAAAAAAGGTGGCCCGGTGGGCGGGCTTGGCCGGCCCATGTTTTTCCCTTGGGCAGTCTCTTGCTCATGTTAGGCCCAAATAAGCAAACAAGAGGTGGTAAATTGAGTTTTCAAGAAAACACAAACTAATTTTGTAAAACCAACCTCAATAAAAATTCTGTATCTACGCGCAAAGTGAACTGGTAATATAAACAACATAAGCTAATGAGTTTAGAGAAAGAGAAATTGCAAACGAGATTTATAGAGGTTTGGATTGGCTATGCACACTCCCTTCCAACTCTCGCAGCTCAATTAGGCCGGATTCCATTAGTTATAAGAATACAAATATCATCTTGTTACAAGTGTAGAGCCTAAGTCAAGCAACACTTGACTCCTTCTATAGCAACCCCTCTATAGTCATTCTCACGCAATGTACACACAGCATAGCAAATCTTTTTTTCCCAAATTATAAATCACACCTCTAAGTAGTCATGGCCACGGGCCGGTTTCGGCCCGGAACCGACCCAGTCAAACCGGGCCTGCGGTTCGGAACCGGAACCGGCCCGTGGCCTACGGGCCCGGTTCCAAAAAAAAATTAAAAATTTTAAATAAATAAATTTTAAAAAAAAACCTGCAGCAGGGCCGGGGTTCGGATAGGCTTAGGTTTTGGGGTCATTTTAGGGCATATATATTGTGCTCCTTTTTTTTTATAGATCATTGTAACGAATTGTAAGGCGCTTAATGATAATTTATTAAGTACAAGCCCCTCTTTCTCTCTTTTTTTCCTCAAATTTGATTACAATTTACATTTTGATTACAATTTATATTGAATAATTCATTATTTCATAATTTCATAATTCATTATTTTTTTATTTCATAATTTATTTTTAAAAATTTTAAATTATGAACCGGAACCGGAACCGGACCGGAACCGGCCGGTTCCGGTTCATACATGGCCACGAACCGGAACCGCCGGTTCCGAACCGTGGCCATGACTACCTCTAAGTACTTATAAAGAGTCTCTCTCACAATTTGTCTCTCATCTAGATGAATGTCTTTACTCTTAAGTACAATCACCACTTCTCTCTTGTATTACTAGATTTGTTACTATTGCAGCACTCGAATAGATATTACAAGCTCACAGAAGAGACGGGCCAAAAAACCCCCTCAATAATACTCAAATTCTCTTATTTTACAACTATTTATCTTCTGGCCAACTTTTCTCCAATTCATGTAACTCCAACTTCGAACATAGCACTTGAATCATGTAACCATTATGTCCATCTAATTCTCTGTAAAAAAAAAAATCTCGGCAAAATTCCTGGAAATATAGGTTCATAACTCTACTTCAATCTGGGCTGCCAATCCGATCTTCTATCTATGGTAGGTTTGATCACTTCATCTCACCAATCTCCTAAGCGAATTAGTTTGTGATTTTTGGCATAAATAATATTGGAATATGAGTTGGGTCTTTAATTTAAGAGATCCAACAGTCGTCAAATCTATATTTGGAAAGTCCCCCTTGACATAGTTTCCCTGTTTTGTATAACCTAATTTGGTTCTACACCGCTCCTTCCATAATTTTCGAGATTCGGTAAAATCTAACTCATATTCTCGTAAAATCCGAACCTAACTTCCATATGGTTTAAATATGAACCTCTATACACTAAAATGAACTCATTCAACACATGGATGAAATTTTAATATCATCAAAATCCTTTAGGGATATTTTCCAACAGCTCAAACTTGTAAGTTGGACCGCCAGGCAGGACCTCTAGAGGATCAGTCTTGAGCTTGCCCAAACCCACCTAATGAGCATGTCTAATGATGAGTAATCATCTACGTTCTAAATAAACTCTCAAACATTGAATATAGTGGAATAAGAAATTTCAACTTATTAAGATGCTAATTATCAACTAATGATACTTATGATAAAATAACAACGAAATTTCACTATAAACCCCTTCAAATGTTGGTAAATAATTAATGGATTTGTCGGGTATGGATGGAGGTAAAGGATAGATTTCTACTAATTAGGTATGAACGAGTGGAGAATAGACTTCTATTCTACTCATGTCCCATCCAATGGACACATGGTATTTAAGCATGGTTCTCTAGAACTGTTTAGGCTTTTTAAAGTTGAGTTGGCTCTTCTAAAGTGCTTTAGCCACAACACTTCATCATCAGATTTTTCAAACAAAAGTATTATAGTAGTGTCTCTAAGTGATAAGATAAAAACATCAAAAGTTCAACCAAATCATGCGCGAGTTGTCTGTAAACCCTCCAATCAAGGGATGTCTGGAGCAATGAGATCGACCGAATCCGTCTTTGGATCACCATGTGGAGACTCTGCTGTTGATCTTGGGGTGTGATTCATCCTCCAGTTTGGATGGCTCTGCACAGGAGGA